GATACTTGCGTCGACTCGCCGCCCGCCGACCGCCGCCCCTGCCCCGACAGCCCAGCGCCCTTGCGGGTCAAGCAGCTGGCATGCCTGCAGGCATCTATCCGCCTCATCGAGTCGGGCAAGGCCGTGATGGGGGCGACGGGGGAGTGGGTGCGGCTGGGAAGGACGGCAGGAGCGGGGGGAATGGGGGCGACGGAGGTCAAGGAGGGGAGCAGCGGCGGGGCAGAGGAGCCAAGCTGTGAGCCAGCATGGAGCCAGCGGCCATCCAGAGCGACGAGGGACAGGAGGGTAGTAAGATAGGACGAGAGGGTGTATGTAGGAGGCGATGGTTGGTAATGAATGAAAGACTGGTATCTGCTGATAGGACGCTGTACCGCCTGGGAGAGGCTGAGAGCACTGCGCTAGACCGCATGGCCTATGTTGCTACACGTGCGGTCGTATCGCTGCGTTTCCTCGCTCAAGGCATGCGGCACCCTTTGCGTGCGTTCTCGACCATGGCTGAGACTGTTGGCTCTTGGGCGGGACCGGGACGCGCCTGAGAGAGGCAGAGGCAGGGAGCTTTGTCGCTCCAGCCTCACCTGCTGTCTCATGAGGAGCTCTTGAGACTCCAAGGCTATTCCCACTCAGAAGACAGCATGGAGCAAGGCTCCGGAGAGCGATGCTCGTCGGTCCAGACGTTTCCTCTGCTCCCCCTGGTCGTGGCTGACAGGCTAGAGCCTGCCTGCCAGCACTCCACCTCCTCCCCCGACGCTGCCAGGACACACGAGAAGACAGCTCAAAGTCGTGCTTCTTTATTTACTCTACATACATGCTTCGCTACTCTACACAGCCCCTCTCTCCCGTCGTCTAGAGGACGCCGACGCGCTTGACCTTGAAGGTCTGACCGAAGTGCGGCTGCAGCAGCCTCCGCCTGTCGAAGCCGCCTGCCTGGCATGCCGCCGGCAGGAGATCCAGCCGGGGCGCCGACGGGAGCGCCAGACGAGAGTCCAGGGTGACGGGAGACTCCAAGTCGTCGTCTTGGAGGAGCCAGACAAGGCCGCTGACCAGGCTCGCGAGGCAAGCCACGGCCAGCGCAAGGGAGAGGCGGAGCAGGAGGGCGGCGTGGGCAGGCATGCGGGAGGGGGAGGGGAGAGAAGGGAGAGAAGGGACGGGAGAGGCTTGCCAGTCGTGGGAGGAGGAGGACATGGCAGGGATAGTAAGGACTGGAAGCTGCAGAAGTTGATCAGATAGCAATGAAGTTGTTGGGAGGGGTTTTAGGGTTTATCTGACTGTCTTTTTCAAACGTCGCGTTTTTACCTGGTCAAAATAGGTTTTGACTGGCATCCGGGATCGTCGTTGGTTTCCTCCTGCCCTCGTCTACCCCTTCCTTGATGCCGGGAGACTCTTAATGGTCTTTATCCCCTCCCCCAGATACATCCGGAGATTGATTCAGCGCCTCGCTGCAGCTCCATGCTCTGGCAGGCCCTTGTGCAGGCACTGCTCGCCGGGTTCATACTTACCGGCTCTTTCCTCTCTGCGTCGATCCAAATCTTAATCGGCACCGTCACGTGGCTACTTCATGATGATATCCCACACGTCTTCCACCCCTATTGCCTTGAACTTCAGCCCTCGGCTGCAACCGACTTTGACGTCTTACCATTGGCATGCCATGACAGCTTTGACAAGCAGAGGCTAGCGCTGCCGCACTTTAGTGAGACCTTCAAGTTCAAACGAGTCAGCGTCATGTGAAAGTCCAGCAAAGTATGAAGCAACCCGCTCTCTTACAAGGCGATGATATTTTGCACTAGTGTAGTATAGATGTGGAATAGCTACGCTGCCGCTATCTAGACCTTACGGGCAAGAACAGCAGAGGCGTTTCCATAATAGCATTGCATCCTACACGTCAGCACAACTGGCCGTTCAGAAGGTTATGACAATACTGATCGATTGTATTTGTGATAACAGCTGAGCTGAAGCTTTTTCAATGTAATGCGAAGACTCAGTGCAACTTCGTTCACTATCAAAACAACCTCATTTCTGTCAATAATCCTGCTTCATCGTTGGGTGCAGCAACTCAGCCAAGAGCCTCATCGCACACTCAAGTAATCGTCCGATTTGTTGTATTCTGGACTCATACCGGACGCCCCTTGCGCGTATAGGATGACGATGCCAGATCGTTGCAGTGGTGCTGCTGATCTGATGAGTGTGTGCTTAATAAACGATGGTCCTGAGATTATCTGAGCTCAAGGTCTTTCGCAATGTTGTGTGGTAGCAAATTGGTTCACATTCCAGCTTTGATTCAGAATCTCAAACGATTCCAAGAATGATTTTCGCAAAGAAGGCAAGCAAACTGTTGAAATCGATCAATCCACACCAATGTTGGAGCTGAACAATTTCAATTCCCCGTTTTCTTTCCGTAACGAGAGATGTTGATTCAATCATGCAAGATCGACCACAGCAGGATTCACATCCAGGTTCTGGTGCTCGCCCATTCTCTTTCACGCCTGCTAGTACCAGCCCACGGTCTATCTTCGCTAAGGAGTCTCCAGCTCCGCATGCTAAGTTCCCGGAGTAATTCAGGACCCATCTCTCAGCAACAAGGAACTTCGGAACCATCGGGAGTCTTTAGCCAGTGAATCTTGCCTTGTCCAAAGTTAGACCGTGACGGTGCGGGGCTCACAGTTCGTAACTTTACTCACTTGAAGTTAAGTTAAAATTAGTAATCTGTTTCTCAGTGCGGCGAGCCCGGCACTGCCAGGCTTTCATCAGTTTGCCAGTCCAGTGACCCCGGGCCCGCCCGGCCCGGGCCGACCCTCAGGTGTGCGCGGCACCCGGGACCGGCGTCACGTGCCGCTGCCGCACTGCAGTCACTCCCGGCCGTGCGCCCGGCCAGGCTGCTGGCCTTTACTCAAACGGTTAAGTGAGAGTCTAGTCTCTTCCAACTGGACTAGGTGCAGTCCCCCAAATTCTTCTTTACTCAAAGTTAAGTTAAAAATCCCCAAACTTAACTGTGCAGTCCAATTGCAGCCCCGACCGGGCCCCGCCGCCATTCACACGGGTCCGATCCCGGCGGCCGACCGTACCCGGGCCCGGCGAACTTCCGCCCGGCCGGCCCGCGCCACATCACTACTGATTTGTGCCATAAGTGTAAAAATATATTATTCTGTACTACTATATCAATATAAAAAATATATTAGTCAAGGTTTTTACAAATACCCATGTAAAACCTTTTACAAACAGTGCGGGGATTGATCCTGGTACAGAATGCATTTTTATTACAGTTTTAGACCGAGCATACAATACTTTTCCTCACCACGTCATGGCGGCTTGTGCCGGTGGTGGCGGAGTCGGAGCAATGGGGCCCAAAATGGGAAGACGACGAGGAAGAAGCTGATAAACAGATCAGAACTAAGTGCAAGTTGGTGAGTCAACAGTGATCTGGTCTGTTGGAAGGTTGTTTGAATGATGCATGCACATTGGGCAAAAACTGCCTCTATGAAGAGCAAATGGAAGGAGGTAACTTGGAGGTCGATACACTGACCGAACCTGTACGATATTGCCAGAAGCCAATCAACCTTCAACTAGGATGGTGTTGCTGAAGGATCTTAAAGGTGTCCTGATCCGGAACATGTCAACAGCAAACATGCTGTTGAAAGAAAGTGACACCTGCCAGATAGCTTGCTTCTTTAGCATGCACCTGGTTGATGGAAAGACTGGAGCCGTCGTAAAGGAGAGCTTCTACTCCAGTACCTTGTGCCGCAAAACATCCAACCCTTCGTGGACGGACGTAGACCACACTGAGATGCTTATGCACATAAACATGGGCGCGATTGAGCGCGGTACCGCGGAGAAAAACAAGTTTGTCATCCGCGTATGGAACTGCCTTTGCCGCCCATACGCAGGACGGGGATGCAGCAGTGATGTGCCACATGATATGCAACAACCTCTTCCCAGACCCGCACCATGGTCGTGCCATAGATGGAAGCTGGACGAGGATCTATGCGGGAGACGATGTAACGATGGAGGTCATGGCGGGTGCCCTGCAGCCTCGGCGGCATGCAAACTTCCCGATCGGTCCTCCATCGTCCATGGTGAGATCGTGGAGACCAAGTTGCTGTTTGAGAATGTGTTGGATCTGAGGATGTGGGTGAAGGTAGAATCTTCCTTGAGCGAAGTAAGTCGCCTTCTTTCCTCTTTGTGTTTGCTTTCTTCATTGTTGACTCTCTGCTCAGGTGAAGCTCTCTCTCCCAAGGAACGCAATTTTCTTCAGCATCTCAGACTCAGTCGGCGTTTGGTCTACCTACGTGGATGCCAGCATTTCGTCCATGTCCGGGTTGCTTCAGAAGATGAATCTCAATCGAGATCTGTCGATGCAAGCTTCAAGAGCAGATGGCTTCAACCAGAAGCATCGCAAGCGAGCTGCTGCCAGTGGAAACATCCTCGGGGACACCATCAAGAATGCTAATCCCACCGTCCACGACAGTTCGAACGGCACAGTGACACTGCATCTCTCCAATGGTGAGAGGAGGAGCGAAGACGCGAGTGGTCAGAGCACTCCTGAAGTCTCGTCAGCGTCGAGACTGCAGGAGGTGGTGAGAGAGGAAGGAGGCGTTGAGGAGCAGAAACATCTTCCCAGGGTTTGTTCTGCTCGATCACAGGCCCTCGCGTATATGAGAAAGTGCGTCATGCTGAAGAAAGTTCAGACGGCTTTGGCGAAGCAGAGGCTGGAGGAGCTACTCTCTTCACAGGCTGCCAAAGAGCAGGAGCTTCTACGCAAGAGAGAAAGTGCGGGAAGGTTGCGAGACCTTCGGAGGAGGGTGGCGGAGGAGGAGAACAAGGTGCAGCAGCTGTCAGCTCAGGTGGAACGGGAGGAAGGCAGGGTGCAAGTCAGCCTTGAGTCGGAGAGACTGCGAAAGAGCCTCGGACAAAGGGTGTTGACTGTCATGAACCTTCAGATGGAAAGAGACTCCCCAGCTGACGAGAGTGCAAGGCGGAGGTCCTCGGATACAGCTGAGGAAGACAGCATGGTCCCCGCAAACTCCCTCGATGAGGCGAGGAGGAAGCGTTCGCAGGCGATCGATGCAGACAGACAGGCGCTGAGAGACGCGCGGAAGGAGCTGCGAACTCGGCAGAACTTCCTTACCGCTGCTCTCCACAGCGCTTATCCCATCTTCACGGCGGCAGATGGGGTGACCCGGACGATCTGCGGGCTGATGCTTCCAGCCTTGACATCCTCCAGCAGCGGAGACGATGAGATGGTTTCGACTGCTCTCGGGCACGTCTGCCATGTGGTACTGCTCATGTCCAAGTACGTCGGCTTGACCCTTCGCTTCCTCCCTGTCCCGATGTCCTCCAGGAGCGTCATGCGCGACCTGAGCGTTTCATCCTCCAGGAACAATACCAAGGACGGCAACGACTTCCCCCTGTTCCTCAAGGGTCAGGACAGGACGAGAGTGCAAGTAGCTGTGCTGATGCTGAGCAAGGACGTGGATCAGCTGCTGGCCGCTCACGGGGTGATGCCTGTTGACGTCTCGCTGCTGCAGGCCACACCCAACGGCAGTCAGCTCTCCATCCTCGCAAACCTGCAGAACATCATCATCGCATGCCGGCAGAGGTTCCTGACGGCACAAGGAGGGCTGGAAGCGCTCTCCTCCTTGGACTCATCCGCCATGTCTGTCCTTGCCATCTCTGAGGAGGACGCAAACCACCTCGCCATGCTGTCCACAGTGGGAGGAGGGTCAGGCAAGTCGAGCCGAGCCTCGAGTGAGCATGGAGGGGCGACGTCGGAGCGGAAGGCCATGGACAGGTCTTCTAGCTCCTCCTCTCGGCTCCCAGGTCAAGACTATCTGTCGGGGCTGGCGAAGGGGGTCGACCGACTACTGGAGTCTGTGATGTTCCCGACGGTCACGAGCTCCAACGCACAAGGCGGGGCGGACGAGGGAGACGGCGCGAGCTCGGCGAGTACAGTGAGGAGTGATCAGAAGAGATCGAGGAGGAAAGAGAGGGAGAGGAGGGAGAGGGAGAGGGAGAGGGAGAGGGAGAAGGGCAGGGGGGAAGGAGTCGATTACCGTGATTCCCCCGAGATCAAGCATCACCATCGAGCCACACGCGCGTGGGAGGAGGAGCTTGATGCCAAGTGGGGCTCGAATGCTCGGAGCCACTCGAGGAGGGAAGCTGACAGCGAGGGAGAGAGGGCGGGACGCATGGCGGAGATGAAGCATTTGCGTGCTGGGGATGTTGAACAGGAGAAGGATGAAAGCTTGACAAATTTTTTCGTGAGCAAGGTCTGAATCTCAGTTCCCCTACACTTGTCTACTATCCATCTTCCTCTTCCTCTTCCTCTTCCTCTTCCTCTTCCTCCACCCCCCTCCTCTCTACTTTCCGCAAGTCCCTCTCTCCCTCCACCCACCTCGATCTGACTGAGGACTGCAGGACGGGTCGCAGGCATTTTACGAGATGTACAAGGCGGCAACGGACGGGATGAAGATAGGCAGCGAGGTAAGAGCTCAACCCCTTGACTGATCCTCTGACTCTCCATAGACTCTCCTTCCTCACTCCAAGGATGTGCAGGATGAGGCGAGCCTGACTGGGAAGTGGATCGGAGCGATGAGGGAGACGAGCAACCGGATCAGCAGCATGGCAGAACAAGGGATGGGGCCAGTTGATCGTAAGTTGCCCCTCCCCCTCCTTTCTCTTCTTCCCTCTCTCCCTCTTTTTTTCTTTTTCTCCTCTGCCTCTTCCTTCACCTTTCGACTTCCACTTCTTGTTGGCGTCGGCTGTTTTCCTTTCTCCTCCTGCCCCATCCACTTCCTACCCCTTATCCTGCCGCTGGCTCTACCTCCTTCTGCCTTTTGCCGAATCTTCTTCCATTCACTTGCCTCATGGCAGGAACTTTGCAGTACATCTTGTATCCCACGGACTTGAAACTGCAGCCTACCTCGCCGGGGAGCCAGTTGGACCCGTCCACCTTCGATGAAGATAGAGGAGCTGGAGCAAGAGCTGCAGCTGGAGCTGGGCCTGCGGAGGAGGACAGCAAGGAGACGTTGGGGGGCGAGCCTCCTGCGGCTCATGGCGGAGTAAAAGGAGGAGATCACGGGGGACCGGCAGGGTCGAGCGACGGGGGGGAGAGGGGGAGAGGAGTGGAGGAGGGAGAAAGGATACACGACCTGTCCTCGGAGACGGAGAGAGCAGCGTTTCAAGAGATGCTCTGGGGAGTGAGGACCGGGGAGGACGCGGCGATGGACGACGAAGAGGCGTGGACAGCTGGACTTGACCGGCTAGCGCAGGATGCAAGCTTCACATGACATGAAGAGGTGTAGAGAGAGGAGGGAGGAGTGATGAGATTGTTTTCTGCGTGTACGTGTATTCGTCGTATCATCATGTCAACCCCATGCGATGTTCGAAGCTGGAAAGAAAGTGAGCGAGGAGAAGAGGAGGGGAGAGGGCTAGCAGAGGATGGTTGGACGAACAGGCGGGTGGAGGGTTTGGCTTGAACCTGCTGAGAGCGGCGAGAAAAGCTTGCAGCATGGAGAGTGGGGGCTTGAAGTCGAGAGCCTGACGAGAACGAGATAAGAGAGGAGGGGGAAGGAAAGGGAACGGCTCACATATGTGTCCTTGCGAACTTTGCCAAAGATGCATACTACGTCTTCTGAGTAGTTGGTGAGAAGAGGAGGAAAAGACGAAGGGAAACGGCAATGAGGAGAAGAAGAGTGTAAGAAGAGTGTATGGAAGAAGCAAAGTGAAGGAATTTGCTGAGGAGAGAAGGTGTGGGAGGGGAGAGGAGGGGAGAGAAGGGGAGAGCAACAGGGGGGAAACTGGAGGGAGGGAGAACAAAGGAAGGGGAGGGACAGGACTGGACCTTCGTTGTCGCAAGGCACGAGGATGAAGTTCTTCTTACTCGGAAGCTTCGCCAGCAGTGAGACGAACAACAGGAGGAGGTTGGGAGGAGGAGAAACAGATCTTGGGGGAAGGCAGGAGGAGGAGAAACAGATCTTGGGGGAAGGCAGGAGGAGGAGAAACAGATCTTGGGGGAAGGCAGGAGGAGGAGAAACAGATCTTGGGGGAAAGGCAGGAGGAGGAGAAACAGATCTTGGGGAAAGGCAGGAGGAGATCAGCAAGGGGTGCAAGATGACGAGTAGGGGAAGAGAAAGGACGATACCCTGACACGCTTGTAGAAGTCCAGGCTGTATGCTCCTGTCTTCTCGTTCCACTGCGCCGCAAGTTAATGGGAAGGAGGTCAGGAATCGAATGTCTACTTGGAAGGGAGAGGCGAGGAGG